CTCAGCAATTTGATACTAATCAAAATTTTCACTTTATCTTGATCAATTGTTTGGGAACGAATTATGTTTGATTTGATTCGAATGAAAATTTGTACATGATTCAAATCAATTCCAATTTTTCAAAATCATGTTTGTTTCTAGTTGATTTGATTCGAATCAAACTCACAACATGATCCAAATCAAATTGGTGTACCTAAAAATATTGTCAGCTCAGGGATATTTGATTCAAATCACATTTTGTTCTTGATTCGAATTATAAAGCATTTGATTCGAATCACATTTTCTCTTATCCGAGTCAACTGACATATTTTTCAAAAACTAAGTATTTCTTTCATTTCACCTCATTTTGCTCATTTCGGCCCAAATTATATTTTTCTTGATTCTAATCTAACCACCTTTTTTCAACCACTTTGTGTGCTTTATCTCAAGCACATATAAATCCTTTTCTGTCATCATTCTAACTAACAATCAATCATTATGTTAAAAATTTCAGTGTGATTTTGCGTGAAAATCAATTTCCTCTATTTTGAGTGTTCAAAGTGTTGCTACGAATTTCTCACATCTTCAATTTCAATTGAGTTTAGATATTGATAATGAGAGTTCTGAGATTGATTGAAGGAGTCGAGTATTTGAAACTTGTTGAATGTTCAAGTTATTAGCAAGAAAGAGGGATTGTCAATGGTGGTGAAAAATTCCATTGAAAAAAAGTAGGTTTTTCTCTATAGAATTGCCTTAGTAGTAACTGTGTAGATGACTACGAATAAGGCGGAGTTCTTCTTGAATCTTCGGATGATTTCACCGCTTTAGGAATCGATAGGATCAAGGGGTTGATTGCTTCACACGAAGGCTTTGAGCAAAATTGTTGTTATTGGAAGATCAAAGAAACGTGTTCGAGTAAAATTACATTAAAGAGTTTGACAAGTTTGTTGTATACAAATCAAGATCCAAATTAGGAAATTTATTTTCTCGGCTGTATTTGTGGATTGGTGATTAAATGAACTCTTGGAAATATTTGTCAAATAACAAGAAACTATGAAGGTTCCGATGAAAAACCATTGAAGAGTGCACGTAGGAAAAGCGATCTATAAATCTCTGTGTCATCTCTCTAACTCTTACTCTTGCATTTATATTTATAGTGATTGCATTCTAGGTTTTTCAATTCCGTCGTATTATATCGTTTCGTTCTTGATAGGGATTAATTACGTAAAGCTTATGTTTATTTAGAATTGAACTACTAGTCAAGCTAGTATTATGATTGATAAATCGGAAAACTGATTGAACTTAGGACTCTTTACCTTGAATCAATTGTGTACACTTCTTGTGACTACACAAATTGAATCAATTCGTACCAAATATTTCATCGCTATAATCTTAGATATTTGTGAAACGAACTGTGTTAGCTTAATCATATTCAACTGTATAATTTTTATTTTCGCTTCAAATCTTCCGCTCGCAGCTCATTTTTTAAAACACTCTGATTTAGAAAAACGACAATTGCAGTTTTTAATTTGGGTTTGTTCACCCCCCTTCTAGACCGTCATACACTAGTATTTGTACTCTATTTATTTTTATTTATCTCAACTTCATTGTGTACTCTGAATTTATTACTTTATATATGTCATTTTTTTTCATGTCGGTTGTATGGTCTAATTCATCATAGTATAACTTTAATATATCGTCAATCCATCTGAGTATCACTAGAACATTTAAAATTTACTATTAGATGTGATTACGAAGATGCATCTCTGAATTTTATCTGGTGTGATACGGAGATGCATCTCCTGAACAACTTATGTAAAAAAGAAGTGTTTCACTGAAGAATGCATGAGGTGTATATTGAACTATTTCGATGATGCATCTCCACAATAATTTTTGAAAAATAGATTGGATGTGGCTCAGTTTTAATGTTTTGATTTTAAGCGAATAATGCGTCTAGAGATATATCTCTAAAATTTGAAGAACAATTTCAGATTTTCATAAAATGTTTTTTTCGGTCAATTAGGATAAGATTAGTAATTCCTTAATTATAATTATCTTCTCTCCACTATAATTGTTTATTTTAAAAATCTGACATCTTATTAAAAAAGTTAAAATAAATATAATTTAAAAGAAAGTAACAAAAGAGTGTGGTTTTAACTATGTTGAATTGCAAGTGGATTGGAAAGTGGTGGTTCAAAATATTCAATCTAGTTGTGAAGGTAGCCTGCCATGATAGAGACTGGTTCAAACAATTCCAAGACCTCTCCCAAGACCTCTGTTTACCGTTGTCAAAATTAGGGGGTTTGGGGCCTAAATTTTAAGGTCTCAAAAATATAGCGAGTCCAAAATTTTAAAAATAAATAAACCCTAAAATATGTAAAGGCCTCCAAAATTTAAGAAAGACCTCAACCCTCTAACATTTTAAAAAAATGGACTCTTTTAAAAAAATCATTTTTTTAAAATATATATTTTTAATTATTTAAAAAAATCAGTTTTTTTTTCTAAAAATAGTCGAGTATTTTTTAACTTTTAGAAAAAATTAACTTTTATATTTTCAGAATAAAACGACTATTTTATTTCAGAATTTTTTTTTTGAAAAAACTTAATTTTTTTAATTTTTGAAAAAATCAACTATTTTTATTTTCCGAAAAAAATCGACTATTTTGAACTTTAAAAATAATCGATTTTTTTATTTGTCGAAAAACCAATTTATTTTTTACAGAAAAATCGATTTTATTTTCGAAAAAAATCTAGTACTTTTTATTTTTGAAAAAATCAACTATTTTTATTTTCGATATAAATCAATTTTTTTTATTTTTAAAAAAAATCAACTATTTCGAACTTTAAAAAAATTGACTTTTTTTATTTTCTTAAAACACCAATTTTTTTTAATTTTTGGAAAAATCGAATTTATTTTCGAAAAAAAAATTAACTTTTCTCAATTTACAAAAAAAATGACTTTTTTTTTTATTTTCGAATAAAAACGACATTTTTTCATTTTAAAAAAATATCGACTATATTTAAGTTCCTAAATTTTTTTTATTTTCAGAAAAAACTTTATCTTTTCTATTTTAAAAAAAATCGACTTTTTATTTCGGAAAAAAATAACTTATTTATTTTTGAAAAAATCGACCCTTTTTTAAAAAAAAAAAAATTTGACTTTTTTCTTCAGAAAACTGGCCTGTTTTTGGAAAAAAAATTGAGCTTTTTATTTTTGAAAAACACTCAAATTTTTTTAATAAGAAAATTAGATTTTTTAAAAGTATTTTTTATTTATATTTTAGAATTTAAAATTAATTTTTAAAAATATTTATTTTTTAAAAAAGAATAATTAAAAAACTAATATATTTTATTACAAACCAATTAGATTTTAAAACTAATTAAATTTTGAGTCCATTAGGTCTCATAAAAAGCAAAAATATTAGAAGGTTTAAAAATTAGAGATTAAAAAAATATTTATATAGTAGAGAGTCTTAAAAAAAAGGGCCAACAAGAAGTTAGAACTTTGTTATATGCAGAACTCTCCAACTCATCTTTTAATTATTGGTGGAAATTCTAGAAATCAATAGTTTTATCATAATTTGATATTTTATAAAATTATTTATAGATAATGATGAAAAAATTTTAAGGTAATCCTAATTTGTGTTCAAAAAGCATAAGTTAAGAATTAAATGTATAAATAATTTTTTAAAAATTGTGTACTGTTTTTAATAAAAATAAAAAATTTAATTTTTTATAGATATTTTCAATACAAACTTTCTATAATTGTGTTTCTTAACTTGTAGCCTAAAGACGAAGTTAGTATTATTTTCCTTTAGTAATGTTATTGTGAGACACAAGTTAAATTTTTTTGAGTAATGTTATTGGGAGACACAAGTTAAAAATTAAATATAAAAATAATTTCTTAAAAATTGTACACTGTTTTTTAATAAAAATAAAAAATTTAATTTTTTATAGATGTTTTCAATACAAACTTTCTATAAATGTTTTTCTTAACTTATGCCCCTAGAACACAAGTTAGCATTACTACACAAGGGACACAAATTAAGAACTAAATGTAGAAATAATTTCTTAAAAATTATGCACTGCTTTTAATAAAAACAACGGTTGCATTTTTTAATTTGGGTCTTTTCAAAATAATAAAGTATGTCAGAATGATAAAATTTTAAATACAACTTAATTGTGAGATCTCATTAAATATAAAAAATTAAAAAAATAAAACATATCATTAAAGTATTCATAGGCAAATTTTATCATAAAGTGGCATAAATAACATTATAAAGAGACGCATGATCATATCTCACGAAATTTATCAATCAGTCATGTCATATCATTAACTTAATTTATAATCTGATGTGATGAAATACATAAAGATGATTGATTGACAATATAAAATAATTGTGCAGTGTCCGTGCATACCAATTAAATTTTATATTATAGGCAAATGTTATAAATTATTTTTAAGGTGAAGATGATATATACCATAGTTTGACCTAAAACCACTTAGCCCCTCATAATAGAATACTACAAAGATGGTGGATGAGTATTACACAAATCATGTTGAGATAGATTAAAGCCATGACACAACATGTGGAGTAAAATTTTATACCCATGGAATCTAAAAAATCTCATTTCTCAATAATAAGATGACAAAAGATATTGCAGCCAGTATGGATGACCCTACAAATGAAAATATCTACACTGTCCATCAACACTTTGAAAACACCTTTTGATATAAATGCAACTATTTTAACTGTCAAAAAATGAATTGATATGAATAAAATCACAAATATTGTCACCTGATAATTTACATGATCTCCAAATAAAGTTTCCATTTTCAACAATCATTTTTGGTAGAGGGGACTGTCAAGGCATTGTGTAAATGCTTGCTTATAGGATCAAATGCCTTGTTGAACCGTCTTTCGAGAACCAAATTAAGATGAAATAGCTCACATTTCCTCATTTCAAGACCAAAAGGCATGACATGCTGTTGATTCAGTACTTGTTCCGCCACGAAAGGTTTATGAATTATCGCGTATTGTAGGGAAACTAACTCCGTCCTTCAGATGGCTCACTGCTGTAGGACATAACCATTTCAACATGGATGGACCTAAAATCTGGTCAAGAAACATGAACAAACATAACTTTAGGCAAGAAAAACTATTAATAGATACAAAAGTTTTAACCAAAGAATAGGGACTGACCAATGTAATATTTTTGTATGCACCAATGTTATATGGATGCCGGTAGCTCTGTCCAGTCTTGGCGGCCAGCCATTTTGCACGGTTTCCTTCATAATACTAGAAAATGCGCAAAATGAGATGTTTCAAGACACTGATAAAGACAGAACAAATTTTAATGGAATACATTCAACTAAAACCAAACCTCTATGGTTGTCATATTATGAAGAATAAGGTAGATATGCCATCCAGTAAGAGACAAAAGGGTTAGGGTCAAGCCCACCACCATCGTTCCATACATGACCTAACATCATCATTCGTATATTTTCAGACTTCAGTATATTTTATCATCAGAAAATTAAGGATTAATAAAAACAGTTATGTAAACTTTCAGACTTCAGTATATTTTATCATCAGAAAACATGTCATTGTTTAGTTATGAAAATAAGTGTGGACAGAGAAAGGAGTCTAACAATAAACCCTTAAATTCTATTATTTCACTCTCAAGCACAGGACATTAACATTATCTATAATAAATTAAGAATTAGTAGAAAGCTGAGAATAACTTGGCGACTTAGCATGAATGCCTTAAGAAAGATCTAGTAGACGAGCTGGGAGAGCAAAACGCAATAGTGACTTGGGTTTTTGAGGTTTCAGCGTGTTCAACAAAGTTGGTGGTTTTTAGAGGATTCCAACTCCCTCATGAGTAAGATTTTCACAATGATACCAACACAGTTACACTAGGTGAAGCATCATTAGAGGCCGTGAGATCATTGAGAAAGTGACAAGATCAAGATTTCGAAGTATAGGTGGTTATCCGAGCAGTCTAATTTCCTCGTCAATAGCCTCGTCTCTTCTCTAGGGGACAATGCTTGGTGAGTGACTTTGTTGATGCAGAGTCTGCAAAGTGGAAAAGGGAGTAGGTGAGTTCTTCCCTTAACCAGCTTGAACCAAAACCTGATCAGCTGGCTTCACCATTGGCTCTACTGTGGAGGCATCCCAATTGTTTAGCTATCTTCTTTGAAAAATTTGGGATGCCATAAATAAGCAGATTTTTTAGGAAAAACTGCTTGAGCCTTCTGTTAGAGCTAGTTCTACTCACCATCTGAATTGTGAGTTTAACGAGGCAAACAAAGTGACTAATCCCCAACCATGAAACTGTCACTATTCCCTGGTCTCCTCCTTTACCCGGCTGAATAAAGCTTAATGTAAATGCAGGGCGTTTCTCCACTGGTTTCACTTGATGGGGACTAATCATCAGAGACCATCATGATTCTTAGTCTGGCTGCTTGCAAGAGAGAAGCCGCTGCGCTCCACTCATCTCAGGCTGAAGTTTTGGGTAACTGTTAGCGTGTTGGGACGTGGGACATGGAGAAGTGCACAGCCTTGAAGCTGCAGAATTGAAGCTGTAATTGAGGTATGATTCCCTATTCGTTCTAACAGACTAATAGGTTCCTAAAATTAACTTGAAACTTGTAACACCTGAGTTGCATATGGCCTTCTTATCATTTCCACTTTGCGTTTTAATAAAATTTTCGCTGTAGATTATTTCTGATATACTTAACTTCTATGCATACATGTATGTTTGAAAATAATTATATATTTTAGGCAGTCTTATGATCCATGCCATGATTGTACAATTTGCTGGTACCCAAAAAAAAATCTAGAAAAGAACGGACGCAGTTGTTCAAACATATTGGAATAAAGCCCAATAATTAACATTAATTTACTCAGAATACCTCAAGAGAGAACAAAAAGTAAAGAGAATGAAAAATAAAAATATTTGTGCGATAGTATAATCAGGTGAAATTAAAACTTAGCAGAACTGCACAAGTGAAACAAAGATTTTTTAAAAAATGGAAATTCTGCGTTGCACACTAATCTACATTTTATACATCACTTCAACAATACAACAACAACTAAGCCTTATTCCACTAAGTGGGATCGGCTATATGATCAACTTTTGCCATAATATTTTATCAAGGACCATATTTCTATCCAAATCATTAATCTCGAAATTTTTGTTAATAACTTCTCTGATAGTCTTTATAGATCTTCCCCTTCCTCTGATTGTTTGCCTTCTCTCCATATGCTCTACCCTCCTTACTACAGAATCTACCGGTCTTCTCTCAACATAACTAAACCACCTAAGTCTATTTTCCGCCATCTTCTCCACTATAGGCGCTACCCCGGCATTCTTTAATATTTTCATTTTTAATTCTATCTTGTCAAGTCTGATCACACATCACCGCAACATCCTTATCTCAGCTACACTTACTTTATTCTCGTGTTTCGCTCTAACCACCCAACATTTGTCTCAAACAAAATTGCAAGTCTTACCGCAGTCTGATAAAACTTTTTCTTCAACTTGAGAGATACATTTGCATCACATAAAACACTTGATGCCCTTCTCCATTTCAACCACACAGCTTAAATTTGACGGTTTACACCTCCTTCTATTTCTCCATCATTATGTGTTATGGGCCCAAGATATTTAAACCATGTTACTTTGAGGATAATATGGTCTCCAACTTTCACCTCTAGGTTATAAACGCTTATTCTTTTGTTGAACTTACATTCCATATACTCCGTCTTACTTTTACTTAGGCGAAAACCATGCATTTCTAAAGCTCGTGTCCAAGTTTCCAACCTCTCATTTAAATCCTCATTCGACTCTCCAAGAAGAACTACATCTTCTGCAAAAACATGCATCCCGGTGCTATCTCATGGATGTGCTCCGTGAGTGCATCCAAAATTAAAGTAAAAAGGTAGAGGGCTTAGGGTTGAACCTTGAAGCAAATCAATTGTAATTGAAAAATTGTCTGTACTCCACCTTGTGTTCGCACACTAGTAGATACTCCTTCATACATATCTTAGATAGCACGAATATATACAATCCTAACCCCTTTCTTCTCTAGGACTTTCCACAAAATCTCTCTAGGCACTCTATCATATGCCTTCTCCAAGTCAATAAAAATTAAGTGCAGGTCTTGTTGGTCCATCCAATACTACTCCATCACACGCCGTAATAGATAAATTGCTTCCATGGTCGACCTTCCAGACATAAAACCAAATTGATTCTCGGAGACTCGAGTCTCTTTTCTTAATCTTCGTTCAATCACTCTTTCCCATAACTTCATGGTATGACTCATAAGCTTAATCCCCCTATAATTTGCACAATATTGGATATCCCCCTTCTTCTAATAGATTGGAACTAAGGTAATTCTTCTTCATTCCTCCGACATGCGCTTTGACTTCATAAATTTCATTAAAGAGTTTGGTAAGTCACTCAATACCTCTATCTCCAAGAATTTTCCACACTTAACTAGGAATGTTGTATAGTCCAACTGCCTTACCGTTATTCATTCTTTTCAACACTTCTTTTACCTCCTGTTTCTGGATCCGACGTTAGTAATTATAGTTCCGATCTAATTCTCTAATGTCGAGTCTGCTAGAGTCTGGTGCGATATCATATCCTTCATTAAATAAGTTGTAGAGATACATCTTCCACCTATCTTTTATATCTTTTTCCTGAACCAAGGTTTTGCCTTCTTCCTCTTTAACACACTTTACTTGATTCAAATCTCTAGTCTTTCTTTCTCTTCCCTTAGCAAGCCTATATATAAATTTTTCTCTCTTCTTGATTCCTAGAGATTGGTATAATCCGTCAAAAACTTGGGTTCTTGTTTCACTCACCGCCTTTTTGGTCTCATTCTTAGCTTTCTTGTACTTTCTCCACGTTTTGGCATTTTTACACCTAGACCAAACTTTAAAAGAGTCATTTTTTACTCTAACTTTACTCTGGACACTTTCATTCCACCACCATGATTCTTTACCCCTATGTCCAAAACCTCTTGATTCACCCAACGTCTCTTTAGCCACTTTTCTAATCTCTTGGGCCATCTTATTCCACATATCATTTGCACTTCTTTGTGGTTGTCCAAACCCTCCCTTCAAGATCTTGGGTTGGAAAATTCCTTGTTTTTCACCCTTTAAATGTCACCACTTGATCCTTGGCACTACCATATGACTTCTTCTCTTTGTTCTCCCCTTAACTCTTACATCCATAACCAAAACTATATGTTGGATAGTCAAGCTCTCTCCCGGGATAACTTTACAGTTCAAGCAAATCTTCCTATAGGACCTCCTGATAAGAAAGAAATCTATCTGAGAACATGTCCCCCCACTTTTATATGTGATAACATGTTCATCTATTTTCTAAATTATGTATTTGCTATAGTAAGACCAAAAACCAAGGAAAACTCCAAGATGGATTTATCGTCCGCATTCACCTCCCCTATGTCAAACCCCTCATGCACGCTCTTAAAACTTATTGCTACACTACCTACATGTCCATTAAGATCCCCTCCTTAAAAAAGCTTCTCTCCTTGGGGTATATCCTGAAGTAAACCTTCTAAATCCTCCCAAAATTTTACCTTAAGGGTTTACTAACCTAATCTGAGGTGCGTAAGCACTAATAACATTAAAGGTGTCTTGTTTCACTACAAATTTCAAGGCTATGATTCGATCTCCTACTCTTTTCACATCCATAATGTTGGACTTTCCACCTTAATTGTGGTCCGCCCCTAGTCGCCTTAATTGCGGCTCTTTGCCTTGCCTCATTACAGCCCCTAACACCTTCATTGTGTTAGCCTTAAAGGGGTGGATTTAGTCTCACGTTGTTTAAAGATATGACATGTGTTGTGTTTATAAGTGGAGGCAATCCTCACCTTACAAGTCGGTTTTGTAGGGATGAGTTAGGCACAACCCAAATTTTGAGATGGTATCAGAGTCTATCCTAGATCTATTGTTGGGCTTCCCGCATCGTCCACGCTTTGGGCTCATTAAGGCCCAAGCGTGATGGGGTGTGTTGGACTTTCCGCCTTAATTGCGGTTCACCCCTAGTCGCCTTAATTGTAGCTCTTTGGCTTGCCTCATTACAGCCTCTAACACCTTCAATGTGTTAGCTTTGAAGGGATGAATTTGGTCCCACATTGCTTAGAGATATGGTCTGAGTTGTGTTTATAAGTGAGGGCAATCCTCACCTTACAACCCGGTTTTGTAGAGATGAGTTAGACCCACTCTAAATTCTGAGACATAATATCCTTCTTTCACTTCTTATCCACAATAATCCCAACACCATTTTTCGATCAAACTTTTTCAGTATATCAAAACTTAAATCCCGAGAAAAAAGATGTAAGATAAAAAATTTGTGAATTCACTTGATTACGAGAAAAAAGAAGAGGGACTGAAATGTTCACAATTAATTTGCATTGCTTGTTGCAAGAAAAATCATTTAGGCAAATTTCACCAATTAAGTAACATTTCTAACAAAATGATAGGAATGGTGAGGGTGAAGTCTACAGAATTGATGCTTTCAGCATCACATCTGCAGGAGACTGTCGTTTAGGAGCAGCAAGTGCAATTGTTGTTCCATTCTCTCGTTGCAAAGTTCTCAGAGCAATGACAGAGAAAAATCATAAGGGGAGAATGACATAGATGAAACCATATTAAACTTGTAATCGTGATTTTAAAATAATGTATATAATGCTGGCCAGAACAGAATTTCACTTATTTTTAGATTTCTCCCAAACAGGTGAAACTTCCTATTTCCAATGGTCTTGATGATGGAGGTTAGTTGACAAAAGCCGAACAATAGTTTCATATATATCAAACACCAATAAAACTTTCAGCTCGTGTGTATTGAGGGAGAGGCTTTCCTTTTTTGTTTTTATTCAGGTTATTCATCAATGACTTTGGCATGTTTGTGGGAGAAATTGATGGAGCGGTTTTCATGGCCTAGAAACCAAAAATCCTTATGAGGAGTTGGAAGCTTTGAAACAAAGGGATCAGCTCAAGAAACATCATCACTGAGTTCGGGTGTCTTGCTTTGTTGCTCCGGGCTAGCTAAAGCAACAGTTGTTTGAATGGATTAAAGGAGATTATTAGGTGTTGGTGCATTTCCACAACCTCAACATCCAATTGAAAGCCATGCGACTAGCCAGGGACATGAAGGTTGCTCCACAACATGTCCTGGAGAGGCAATTTAGCAGATCAGGTTGAGGAAACTTAATGCATCAAGGCCCCGTAACCAATGGGTCCTTGAAGTCAGCACTAATATGGTATGGAAAGATTACCGACACCGGTCAATATTGGAACCCCGGTAACAAAAAAAAAGTCTATTCCTGGAGTCCAGATACAGGGGCATAGCATTAAGTGCGACAGCCATAAATTAACAAAAAATACTCAGACCTAAAACTTCCTGTGGCGACAAAATATGGAATGTGAATGCGAAACATAATGCTAGAATGCTGGAAGGTGGTGAGAAAGTGGAATATGAAGAAGGGTAATGCAGTGTAGTGAAATCTCAGAGATGATCCAGAATATGCAAAATAGAACAAAGGAGACTCTACACAAAACCGGCAACTTATATCAAGCATTAATATTGAACATGCATCTTAGGTAGGACAAAAGAGGAGTTTCAGTGTAACAGTTAGAATTATTCCCTTACGAAACACGTTGCAGGTTTGACTAATGAAATCAGCTTCATGCCAATGCAAATAAAGGCTGCCTAACTCATACTGGATTTTACCCTTACCGGGTTTCTGCATGGCAGCGATTTTATAGCACAAGGAGGCCCTTTTTCGAATCTTAGTGATAGAGTACTTGATATAAGTTTCCGGTGTGCATATTGAAGCTATTAATTGATTTTGCATGGAATGTGAAATGAAGGTAATTCCATAATCAATTTAGAATACCCTATCATTTTTAGCACAAGGAGACATAAATTGATTTTGCATTGAGTTGATACTGGATTTTACTCTATATTTTTTGCACAAGGACCGTGCTTCTATCTAAATCGTTAATCTCGAGATCTTTTTAAATAACTTCTCTCATAGTTTTTCTAAGTCGGCCGCTACCTCTAGTTGTTTGACTTCTCTCCACCTGATCTACTCTCCTTATCATAGTATCTACATGTCTTCTCTCTACATGTCCAAACCACCTAAGTCTATTTTCCATCATATTTTCTCATGGGGAAAGATCAACTCTATTAGTATATATTAGTAAATCCATAAATTTGCATAAAACTTACATAAAAGAACTTAAGAGAACTCTCTTTAATCTGCCCCCATTCCTTCTGAAATACACAGCATATAAACAGAACCTACACAAAACCAAACCTTATGTCAAATGAGAATCCCATCCATTAAAAACAACTAGACACTAGATCGAAAACATACCGTAGAATAAACACTTGCTATGGTAGCATATACTATAAAATCAAAGAAAGCCTTATAATTCCAATAACCAACACAGTTATTAATCCACAAGCAATGATGATCCTGGATCAAATTCAGCAAAATAAATCTTCAAATCGCAAACTCAACCACAAAAATACAACCTTAAAGCAACATTCATTATTGGTAAGCAAAGCAACTGACCTACCATTTTTAGAACACACTTTCTACAGACTCGACAATGATGAGTCCTGGGAGGCTTGTAACCAAAGCACTTGTCGCATTTCTTCTGTTCTGCATTCTGCAACAAAATTGTTAACCTAAATTAAAGCACTAGTAGCAAAAAAAGAAGCATAACCCAGAATGGATATCTGAAAAAGCTTACATCTTTGGAATTAGTGGATTCAACATCGGGATAAAAGGAAGGAGGGACATGACCAGGATCAGTGAGAACGCAAATGAAGAAAGAGAAAAGGGAGAGAGAAGCGAAGAGAGAGAAGAAGAAGGAATTCAAGGTGCCAGGGGAAGTGCGTAAACCAACCCAATCATCGAGAAAGATGAAGATTGTGGTGTAATAGAGAAAAAGCATCGCCGACAAGACTCCTAACACAGGAAGAGAGAGAAACCTTTCAACCTTCATCATCGAATTCATGTGTTGTATGTAAAGTATTTTTTCTATTTCTACACATGTTTCTTTGATATGCTTCCTCTTAATAAAATATAAACTAATAAAAAAGATTACACTTATTAACAAAACACAAACATAACCAACCACTTACGTTAAAAATTAGTCATAAGAGCCCTATATTTAGGCTTACTTCAACCTTTATACACTATACTATCTATCTTTTGTCATTTTCTTAATATCTCTATTATCATCATAAATTACAGGATTATAGTAATCTCAAACTTCATAAATTGTTTCAGCAGCAGCCATTTTGAGAATGTCAGCATGCATCCTTTTTCCTTTAGCATGTCCCAATATCCAGTCTAATTCCTCCTTTCAAATATGTGGTTGATGATTGATACCCAACCACAATAACACTTCTTTTCAAACATCCTTCAAGCCTCTACAATCAAATAGCAGATGGTCTTGATTCTCTTCATCCTTTTCACATATTTTACACAAATTATCCTGCAGCAAACCCATCTTCATTAACCTAACTTTAGTTGCCAAATGGTCATGGCAAGCAAACCAATAGATAAGCACTTCATGCGGTCTAGCATCATTATGCCTGATCAAATGACTCCAATTTATTTTGCAATGATCATCTACCAGCTGCAAGTAAACCTTTCTTATAGAAAACTTATTATTCATCATCATGTCTTCCCAACTTTGTTGGATCTGGATCACAATACATCTTCTGCTCATGATATTCATCAGGATCTAGGAACTAGTATTTCTGATTGTGGCATTCATCACATCTTCTCCTTTTAAGTAGTAGGCATGCACCCATTTAACCCATAAATTATCAACCTTCATGCAAATATTCCACAAGCACTTCAACATAATCAGAGTGTTCCAAATTTTCATATTTATCAAGTTCAGCCCCTCTTGACTGACAGGGCTACAAACCTTAATCCAAGCCACTGGGCTCTTTCTGCTCCTATCAGCTTAGCCAGTCCAGATGAAAGTTCTGCACATTACCTCAATCTTGTGAATGACCATTTTTAGAATTGGAAAACAACTCATCCAACATTGAGCAATAGCCAAATAGATGCTTTATACAAGCACCTCTCCACCAAAGGTAAATAGTGGTTCAGACTGAACTTTTTACAAGCCAGGGAAACCCCTAAGTATCTAACAGGAAGATGACTTTCCTCAACTCCATATATAAGTTTCACATCTTGAATAATATTAGCATCCATTCCACCACAAAAGATCCTACATTTGTTAGGGTTAATGCTAAGACCAGTTGAATTAGAGAATGTTTTAAAAGCTTCAAGGATTAACTCAACAGACTTTGATCACCTCTACTGAATAGAAGAACATCATCATTATTATTACTATTATTATTATTTGTGAGATCTTGGGTCGAACTCTAGTATGGTCGAAGGGTAGCTTCTGGTTCGACAGGAGTTAAGCATGAGGTCGAAGTCTGTTTGCATGCTGCTGTCAAAGATAATGCGTATTGTAGTCGAAGTTTGTTCTAACATGCATTAGTCAATATTGCTAGGTTGTTAGCATATTGGATTGGGCCTTACTTATAAGCCCAAGTGTTTAAGTTAGCTTGTACCCTAAGTTAGCTTGTAATGGGTAATTGTTAAAAAGCCCATTAGGTTAGTGTGTTATTTTTATTATAAATAGGATACTAGTTTCTCAATCTTGGCATAAGGAAAAATAAGAAGATAAAATCCTAATTTCAAGAGAGAGAGAGAGAGAGGGAGATGTTATTTTGTTATTCTTGTATACTTGTAATCTTGTTTATAAGATAAAGGAAAGAATAACAGTTTATAACCAATCCTTGTTGTTCCTTGTTGTTTTACCTTATTTTCTTTGTTAACCCTAACCCTTGTGTGTTTCTTGATCATAAAGAAACTGTTTATATTTTGTTTCAAGACATCCGATTCACAACAAATTGGTGCGGTGAGCTTAGAGAAGATGCCTTCAATAAAGTATGAGATTGAAAAGTTTACCGGAGTGAACGACTTCGGTCTGTGGCGCTTGAAGATGAAAGCCCTATTGGTTCAGCATGGTTGTTTGGAAGCATTGAAGGGAGAGGCAGCCATGGACGTTGCATTAACGGCAAAAGAAAAGACGAGCATGATTGAGAAAGCCCACAGGGCAATATTGTTGAGCCTTGGTGATAAGGTTCTTCAACAGATATCAAAGGAGACTACAATATCGAGATTATGGGTGAAACTTGAAAGTTTGTACATGACCAAATCTCTGGTGAATCGACTCTACATGAAGCAAGCTTTGTATTCATTCAAGATGAGTGAAGACAAAGTGTTGGCTGAGCAGCTGGATATGTTCAACAAGCTGATTCTTGATCTTGAAAATATTGATGTGAAGATTGATGATGAAGATCAAGCACTGTTGTTGTTGTGTGCTTTGCCCAGAACAAGTGTTCACTTCAAAGAAACTCTCTTGTATGGAAGGGAGTCCCTGACCTTTGAAGAAGTTCAATCAGCCTTGTATTCTAAGGACTTGAACAAATGAAAGGAGCATAAACCTTTGACGGTGGGCAAAAGTTTGACCGTTAAGGGAAAAATCTTGTGAAAGGATGGTAAGTTTGACAAGAAGAAAGATAAAAGTCAACAGAAATCTTATAGTGGTGAAACATATAGTATTTGATGTCATCACTGTAAGAAGGAGGGTCACACAAGAAAGGTGTGCCCTGAACGCCTGAACAATCATGGAGGTAATGGCAACACAACCATTGTTGATGTTCTTGTGGTTTCAAGTGGCGACTCGAGGAAAGAGTGGATTATGGATTAAGGTTGCACTTGGCACATGACTCCAAACAGAGAATTGTTCGAGGAGCTATGTGATCAAGATGGTGGATATGTGCTACTGGGAAATAACAAATCTTGCAAAATTACAGGTATTGGATCTGTGAGATTCAAGCTCCATGATGAGTCAATAAGGTTATTGACTGAAGTCAGGTACGTACCTGACTTGAAGAGAAATTTGATTTCTCTTGGTGAATTTGACAGAAAGGGATATGCTTTTCAAGGAGCGAAAAGTATCCTAAGAGTTATGAAGGGGTCGAAGGAAGTCTTGAGAGGCATGAAGAAACAAGGCTAGTATACCCTTGAGGTTGAGGTTGCAAGTGGTTCGACAAATGTTGCATCCACGAAACCTGTGACAGAATTATGGCACATGAGATTGGGCCTGTCATACCCTAAATTTTCCCACCTTTATTTAATCTCTGGCTTGTGTGTGTGCCATCCAAGAGGAGGGTTTTTGTTAGCTTCAAGCTCAAGCAAAGGCATTGGTACAAGCCATCAAGTGGGTGTTATTATCATAAAGTTATCAAAGAACCATCAGATGGTTGTCAGGGGGTTCATGAGGTTTATCATTGATGTTAGCATGAGGAAGGAGTTTGTTGAGCACCTCAGAGGTCATGGTGGAGTTGGAATAATCACTCAGTTCATTTACGCAATGCCTAGACAAAAATGGTGAAATTAGGGTTTCAATTTTAATCAGGATAAAGTTTGTTCCTTCAAGCAAACTTGTTTCCATGACCCTTTATATGTCCTAAGGTGTTTGAGTATGGGAGATTGATCACCAATTTTAATCAGAGGAGCTTCAATTGATAAGTCAATTGAAAATCAGGAGATTTGGGGGAAAAGTCAAATGTGCAATGAAAAAGTCTACTGCTGACTTTTTGAGTTCAAGATCATGTTCCTCAAGTTAAATATGACCAATGGATGGAATTTGATCAAGAAAAGTCAAGGAAATCATAAAAATCAAAAGTTGTTGAAAGTTGCCATTTAAGGAAAATTAGGGTTTTAGAACTTTCCATTTATGGAAAGTTTCATGTTTGGAACAACCATCTTCAAAGTCATTTTTCTTCATGATCAAGGATTCAAATAACTTGGATAAAACATCAAAGTTGTTCCTTGTATTTCAAGCTTTCTTTTGAGTACCAATTCATAATCATATGTTACTTGGAGCTCAAGTTATGATCAATCAAAGTTGGAGATTTCAATGATTTCAAAACTGTTAAGTTTGGACAGATTTTTGCACCACTTTGCAAGCCAATTTCCATTATTTTCTTGATGTCCAATGGAACTTTATCCCAAATGAGAGTTGTAGAGAATGTTACAAGCTTTCCAAAGAGTCCAAGAAAGCCCAGTTCCATAAAGCTGGCAATCTTTTTATTATGATATTTCTTTGCATTTGTATTTTCTTTTCTGTTAAAGTGCGAACTTATTTGCGAATCTTATCTATAGAACTTGTTTGTTTTAAATTGATAATGATAATGAAATGAATATGCGTGTTTTGATTAAATCTATTCGTGTTCACTCAATGCTTTTTATTGATGTCAAACGCTTGTTTAAGCGGAGTCCGAGGGAGGATGACGAAATTGAAAGACGCGCAAGCTTCCGAGTGTATGCTTTTGAATAAAACCTTTGTTGATGATGTACAGGCATTGTTTCAAATTCCTAAACACCGGAGATATAAGGATGTTAATCCCTTGTCAACCCCTTTGAGCCTAGTAGTAGGAGTTTCTTTCTGAAAACGAAAAACCCTCAATCTTAACCCAGGGCAGGGTAGATGTCAGTTAATTTGACCGAGCATCCAGATTACAGAAGGAGTGTTCCCCCGTTCGAGGATCAATCACACCCATAGAGGTCGTACCTAAAAAAGCCGAGAAGTGAGACAGTTACAATCCTTTCCACAAGTCAGACCAGCCGGTGTCACACGATTTATTCAAAAGAGAATCAAAAGAAAAGAAAAAAGCCCGCTAAGTCAATAACTTGAAAGCAAGTGGCTTAGGCAAAAATCAGGGCGTCCCGCTGGACTTCGAAATCAGAAGATATACTCGAAAGAGTCAGTCTAGGCAAAAATAGGGAGTAAAAATATGATGAAGAACAAGTCGTGTGAGCCAGACACCAAAGACGAAAAGCGAGTGAATGTCACTCCGAAAACTTATGGTTTCTTGAACCATCACTCCTGTCAGTCAACCTCTGAGAGGCGAG